CTTGGAGTTACGTTGTCATGCTCGGGTCCGAGTCTAAGCACGCGTTGTTTCATGCTGGGATACGACCGTCTGATTGAATGCCCAACGGCGATACCAGACATAACACAGAGATACCTGGTCCATACGAAACCATAATAACCTTACAAATGTATATGTATTGTTTGATTTATGAAAACCTTCAGTTCTGCAAAGTACGTCGTGAAGATGCCTATTTGGATTTCTCCTTTGTTCCGAATTATTCCTATCAAAGAAAAGCCTGTTTTTTTTTCTCCTTGAAACCGTTTAATAGGCTGGTCTGAACTACGCCTTCTTCTGGATCATGTGTGTTATTGTATATCCATAACAAGTGAGGTCGTAGGTTGCGGTGGGCACCATTTTTATGTCAAACAAGGCAGAATAATTAAAATTTGAAGCGAAACCATTTGCGGCAATCATAGTGAAATCATTACCGTGCATGTTTTTTGTAATTTTACTTCAGTGGACGCACAGAACCCTAACGGAGTTGGGATTATTTCGAAGCAGGCTATTTATTTAATTCGGTCAATTTTCAGCAACTATGTAAAAAAGGCTTGTTCTATACCTGCCATGTTTCCGTAACCACCATCCACCTTTCCATTTAAAGAGAAACAATACGAGCACAACGTGCCCTAAACCCCGGGGAGTCACTAGAAAATGATCATTAAAGCCTGCACAAGAGTTTGACCCGAAGTTTAAGTTCGATTTGTAGAAAGTATCTGCTGCTGCAGACGAGAGCAAAATCAACAGATAAAAAGGCGGGGCCGCAAATAGTATATGGAAATAGAGGTAAAATCTAACTGGAGAGATATACGAGGGGTGAAAATGATGCAGGAAAAAACTGCGCACAAACGTCAAATTCAAAGTACTACGCGTAGGGAACTTGCATGCGCTAAGCGTTGGAAAGAGACACTGATGTTGCTAATTTTGTCTCCTCCGCGTAGCGGTGGATGCCAGGGTAATAGTAAAAAAAAGTTTTGTATTGTAGTTTTGTTTAAACTCAAACCTCTATAGCAAACTACATGCAATAGTTAACTTCAAAAGGGCAACGACTGCGACGATAGAAAGTTCTGAAAAAATTGATTCTGTGATGATAATTGTGCTATGACTAAATACAGAAGAAAAATGTCTTCTGATTAGCAGGGCATCACAGCAAAATTAAAAAAAACACGGGTAAAAAATAATAACATCCCGAACCTGACGCTATTACCTACGATAAATGTGTGGCAAAGTCAAGCTTACACATATATACGTATATATAGTCAGTTTTAGTGTAATACTAGTTAGTTTTAATGTAATACAGTTATTCAAAGGTTTATTCCGGATAATTAAACGTAAAGGCAACGCAACCCGGTAGCTAAGATTGACAAAATGTATCATATGTTTGCGGCAAACATCGCACTAGTTATATCAAGGCACAATCATTTTTCTTTCTTAACCAAGGTATGTATATACGGTTCGGGCTGCTTATCGTGACGGGAATGCGTTTTTAATATGTCGGATGGACCCTTATTGAAAAATGACCAGATTTTAGCACAGCACGGTGTCGCGAAAGCCATTATCGCAAAAGAGCTGTACGGACTCCAAAGTTTAGCGCTGCAGAACGAAAACGGGCCTTTAATGATCCTTCTGTTTCAATCAAAACGTTATTGAAAAGTTTGACATGAATGTGTGTACTGTATGTGTAGACTGGTATTAAGCGAGAGTCCAACAAATCTCGATGTGACAGGGCCAAGGTGTACCCAAAATAGCAAAGACAACATTTAAAGTGGGCCTGTAAATGATCTAAGAGTCTTATCGAAGCTCTAATATAGTGGTTGTATTGAATAAGCGCGTCCGCTCGGAATGACACCTGTAGAGCATGTAAAAGAAAGCACTCAAATAGTTAAACACAGTCTTAGAAACCTAAGAAAAAACTATAATTTTCCTATATATAGGGAATTTATTATTTAGGAATAAGTTGTCGCATTATTTAAAGATCATGCTTTTTACCTATCTTGCGTAACAATTTTCCGTCTCTGTCACATTCAAACAGCAGAAAGAGGTATATTACGAACTTAATTAATTTCATAACTAAAATGCTTTCAGACTACCCTTCACTACCTGCCGTTGTATTCTTTGTCATGCTTGTCTCATCTTTACGTTTCAGCTTTTACGCTTCGGTATCACCGTTACGCATTCTGTCAAACGGCTAGGTTTCAGCATAAAAAGAAGAAATGCCTACGCCCGGGATACAGCACCTGAATCGCGAGAGGCTTTAGCTGGCTCTTTAGCGTAATGGGTATGCGTTTATACGCCGTTCTTGGTACTCGAACAAAGTCTGTCCTTTCTAAGCGAAACAACAAATATCGATTTGGAAACCAATGCGTCGCTTTGGCAATTGACTTGGGAAACTGGCAAGCGAATATTGGCTATTATACAATTTTTTCGCACCAGACAGACCTCCACCAAAACCAAACACGTCCGTTCAGCTCGGAATCGTTAGTCTAGGTTATTTCCAGTTTTTATACGGGTTCTACAAAGTCAAAGGAAAATTTTCATGGGCCAAAACGTAGGACATTTAATATGACTTGAATTTAAACGGCCTCAAAGTTCCACTAAGATGGCTTAAAAAGCCATTTTAGATACATCTGGATTTTTGTTACAGAAATAAACGGCCATTCTAGAGCGAAAAAGATTAGCCAATAGTCGGGCCGTTCAGATAAGCTCTAACGCTCAGCTCATCTGAGACCTCTTGCGTCTTCCTGCACCTTTTGGGCATTTTGAACCCTTGCATGTTTTGGGACTTTTGGCTTGCTATTGTATTTGAGCGACACTTCAATAAGACTATACCTATTAATATCGCTTGACACATTGCTGAAAAACAGTTATCGGAGTAAAAAAAGCGAATATTTTGAAAATTATCAGTAAGTGGGCCAAGCCCTGAATTGATGCTGTATCCACCGCGAAGGATGGTCATATAGAAAAAACATGACTTTCAGGTTGCTTGCGAAAACCCCATAGCTTATAAAGAAAAAGCAGTTTCAATTTAGGTAGCGTGTGTGTATATATATAACAGATAACGTACAATCTTAACTTTTTGTGAATCACAGCCCACCTGCTTCGCCTCTATCTTAACTTAACTTGGTTCTGACAATGGTTCAAGAAACGAAACGTGTCTTTGACCTCGAATCACCACATCCCACTAAGCCTAGTTGGCACTGTACAATCACAAATATAATCCAAACAATTAATACGAATATCTACGTTTCTACGGTGTGTATGCTATTCCCGTACTATCACCATTGGCCTGCTACTGGCCATGAATGATTACTCAGTATGGCTGACTGGCCTGGCAACACAACCTGTTGATGCTCAGCATCCGCTTACAGCGCCCTCTGGCTGGTCAGTGTGCGCGGACGAGGTTCAGCACTCCGAGCGGGAAAGCGCTCGTGGGACTCAGTTTGCCATGAGCACTTGGAGGTCACCGATCTCCAATAAGCAACGTAAGTGGCGCTTCTTCCTTAATCTCTTCATCCGCGTGCCATCTAACCGTGACCCATCGTGCTGCTCCATACGCTTCTGATTTTCATACGCGTGAAAAGTTCGCTCGCTCAGCGATGCTGTACTGTTGTTAAATTAAGTTAGCGAAATTAGGTTAAGAAGGAATTGGCAAGATCTGCTTGCATGTAGAAACGACACATTGTGACGTCATTTAGCACAGGTAAAATACAAGTATTTATTTCGGCACGGGTCACCTCCAGTCGCTCCTATTAGTTTTATAGCTTCTATTGTAAACAGGTACCGATATGGATGTGTACGCTGTGCTCGTTGCGTTGAAAACTACTCGTGACGTTTACTCTGGATGCATAATTACAAGGGGATCTACAGAAAAAAACAGACATACATGCAAGGCAGAACGCATTGCCAAATAGCGGTCACCTTGTGCAACTTCTCCAAGATAGGTCCTGGATGTTCCTGGCTTTTTCGTCTTTACCGACCGCGCGTGACACAAGAACCTAAAACGGCCGTAGCACAGTGTGAACGAGTTTTTCTTTATCTTCAAGGACCTAGGGGCTCGTTTTGTTCACGTATCGATAAAATATATATTGATCAGGGTTTTTGCTATAGTCTCTCTGTGTTCGTATGAGCCGAGTATAAACCACCGGGGGTGACTGGTAGAATAATAAAAAAAAAAGTTACATCAACAATGAAAAGGGTGAGCTGTTAACGAGTGTATAGCATTTGCTCGTCAATTGTCGCTCATGTCATAGATGGATAGTTTGGCTAAGCAGGCACAACGGCGCGCCAAGCATCGGAGCGTACCGTCAATTATTTGCTGGCGTCTTTTGAGAATTCCGTTCTAGAGAAGAGCCAACTCTTTAGAAATTTACCTGCAACACACCTCCACTATTAAGTGGAACCGCGCCCCGCGTTGGGAGACAGTGTAAGGTCCTTCGGATAGACTTTATAGGACGTTGTTAAATCCGGTAAAAATAGTGATTCTGCCAGGATCTTGCGAGGTTCTGCCGAGTCAATTATATGGCGTGCATTGATTTGCCCATTAAGGATGCGCTGGGCATAATGGAAAGTGTTGAGTTCTAAAAGGAGACGCTTTGGGCGCTAATGCCAACAGCGTAACCAAAACGAGCGAAAAAGACAGTATCACCAAAGGTGTAGGCAGTATATACGCAAAACCAATTCGTGTTGCATAAAGTGATTCAGCGAAAATTACTTATTTGGAAACTAATCCGCCTATGCCATAGTTGTTACTACAACCCATCGGAAAAGATGCCTGTCCGTTAACCAGCCCCGCTATCAGGTAACATTCGACATTTGACGTCGATAGGCAAATTGCCTCCCATGAACGCCCTGTTTAGTTGCGTTAGTACCCATGAAACAGGTGTGCTAGGCTGGACCGCGTCTTAGCGCAGGTATAACATGATGTTACTGATAAGTTCCCTTTGCTTTCCGCACTCGAACCGTCTCGGAGCCCAGCTGTGCGAGTATCGGACTGCTTTGATCTGAGTGACGAGTTGTAAAGCCACGAGCGATCAGACGACTGGGATAAAATCAACAGCGAATAATCTCCTTGCACCTGTTTATGACCGTGTGTGCGCGAGCAAGGTGATTGATTCAGGTAAAATTCAGACGCATCTCCGACGCAAGCGTCTAACGTTAGTCAACACTGGCATGAAAGTATAGCTGTGGATGGAGTGATAACGCACGGATCGTTTCTCAACGTTGAGCGACGACGACGCAAAGTTACATTTCGGTAAACAATGAATGGTGCAGTTGTTACGCCTTCTGAACTATGACGCGATACTTGAATACGTCAAGCTACGGTTTAAGACAAGGATCCTGTGTTAACGTAATTCTCGCTACTACCATGGCCGTCTAGAGAAAGCATCGAAGATAAAAGATCGAGAATAATATTGCCTGTTGAATACTGCGACCTTGTGAGTCCGTGCGTCAGGAACTTAGCCATCAGTACCCGGCATAAATTCGAGGGCTAAAAAGGCCAACAACATCGGCAGTTGTTGTTTTCTTCGCTTTTATTTTGTGATCGTTCTATGCACTCTTCTATATGCGGTGGCATTTTTTGCTGTGTCTCAACACTCATGTACTTGTGATTTGTTCCATTCTTGCGAATGTGATAAATGTGCCACGATTCCTTCTCACGAACAGGTCCCGCCATCTCTAAGCGTTGAACCACACTGTCATCAACACGCGAGCGAAAAGTGACTAATCAGAGCTTGTGGCCAACTGTTTTTCCTATTATAGGAAACATGTAAAGTGGTTTCCATTAGGAGTCATCAGCATTACGCTTGTGAAGCTATACTATCTGCTTCGGTTATTTAGTTCATATCAAGCTTCCTGTCGTATCGATCTAAGCCTTCTCTTTCTAAAAGGGCTGCTGTGCAGATCTAAAAATCGATGCTAAAAAAAATTTCTGCAGATCCCGCTATTCGGACTGATTTAATAGAAAAAAACTTTGCAGATGACGCTTATCTATCCTCAGAAGACTACCCTCATATCGATCGTTGTATGTCGTTTTGGCTCTTGGTTCAGAAGTCGTTGATGAACAATAATCACTTCATTTCAGCCATCCCCAGATTACCAGGGTATAGACGTTGCATACTCAATGGTGTTGAGCTGTCGTCAGCGGCGCTTACGGTCGTACGTCATTTCATTAGAGCGTTTATTGGTTAGCTAAAAAAGGCGACACCTAAAACAATTTCAGCTAAAACGGATACATAAAAGATGTTCTTATCAGCTAGCTTGCGTTACTAACAACGTCGTTTAACACACAGACTGTTAGAAAAGGACAACAAGCCTGCAGGACGAGTACCGAATCGCATGAAAGCAACTGCTAACCGTACAGCGCGTGTTTTCGAGTGAGCGCCAGCGTTAAGTGCATCGCTTTAACCAGTATCGTTGCGCGACCGCGCCATTTCAACAAGCGTTGGCAGCTAATTTCACTATTTCAACTACGAGGTTATAATGCTGTGTGTTTAAGCTCAACAACCAAACGCTGGGGTTCCACTGACGATGAGGCATATTCGTTATCTACTCTCGGTAGCGATGCAATCTATCGGATTCGTTTATCCGACCGTCTGTCCGACCAGGAACAATTGTCAATTTCTGAGTTCTGCATTTCGTAGTTTGAACTTTCCATACCTGATTGATATCCACGCATCTCGAAAGTGATTTCTTTCTGTGTTCTCATCGTAACTCCGCTACGAAGACAAGAGGGTTCCTCTCGTTTGTAGCAATCCTCATGTGCCGTTTCAGCTTAGCACGAGAGACACGAACAGAGAGTAACTTTGATCAAGATCGCGCGAACGCGCATAAAAACGACGCTTCAATTTTAGGAGAAAGCATCAAGACGTCTTCACAGAGGACAGAGTCATGCTCCAGCAATCGAGGCTGCGTGTGTGTTCTATCTTCCAACCGGATTACTCTATTAGCGCTGTCAGTGATGAACGAGAAGGTCTAGAGAACTGAGTGAGCTCGTGAATCTTATGGAGTTCTAGTTGCTCTGCATTGACGCATGTTGTATTCAGAGAGAGGACGAGTCTGAGTCACCCCTACCATCACTCTTGCTGCTTTTGAATTCAGAGACCTTTGCGTCACAAGACAGTCCGGCAGGCTCGGAAACGATTTTGTAGCGAACGAAGCATCGCCTAGGTTGAGGCGAAGAAGAATCGATAGACGCAAAGCCTATGAGAAACCGATAAACACCAGCAGCACATAAGCAAAAAGAAAAGTTATACGTAGCTCATACCGCTCTTTGTTGAAACGGATCAAAAACCTAGGCGAAACGCGAGGAAGCGCCTACAAATCCGCTGAAATCAGAGGCCAAAGCTGCCACAAGAAGAAAAATTCACAAGAACTTGCACAAATTGATAGCCAGGAAAAATTACAGTACACTTAGGGAGCTGCAACTCATCCGCACGCTCCGAAAGCTAGCAAAGGTGGGAGTTGAGGTGTGTCTATTGCTTCTCTTTTTCTATCGCTGTCATTGTCGTCGGTGCGGACATCTCTTACTGTTCCCTAGACGACGCTCAAGATGCCGTTTTTACGTCCACGCCCAATCCGACAACAAAGCGACTAATAGAACGGGGTAGGATAATCAAAGGACGTCGAGCAAGATCGAGATACTTTAATGCAAGAAGATCTTACAGGGGTGACGACAACTTACTCGATTTCTTCATTTCCCTCAAAATCACATCTATCTCTGTTTGTGCGCTGCAGCTGCGACCCGACAGAAAAACAGAAAACGCGTAGATACAGAAGTACTAAATAGAAAAGGAGAGCGGAACTAATAAATTACAAGGAGGCCGAAGAAGTGAGTAAAATTGTGCAGGTTTCCACAGAGCGTCCACAAGGGCCAAGGTTAACGAAATGACCTTCACGATGAATCAGCTGGCAGCCGTCGCCCTCAACACGACGGTGAGCCGGTGTTTGAAAGCCCTCAATGATTCGCTATCAACAACGTCACCTGCCGCCGAAGTACCAGCCGATTGCGTATCGTTGTTTGACAACGTCACCAGCGCTGATGGCAACATCACGGACTTGACAAGTCTTGGCAACTCAAGCTTTCCCGGCTATGTTGAGGGTGGATCAAGTCTGACATTTCTTCTGCCAATGTGGCAGCAGGTAACGTTCATCATGTGCTTTTCATTAATAGTGTTCGCAGGAATACTCGGCAATGCGATCGTTATCTGGATTGTACTCGCCCATCAGAGAATGCGAACGGTGACAAACTATTTTCTAGTGAATCTATCAGTGGCTGACCTGACGACGGCCATGTTCAATGTGATTTTTAACGCCGTGTTTATGATGCATTCGCATTGGCCGTTCGGCGCATTGTACTGTCGAATTACCAATTTTATTTCGTTATTAACAGTGACCTCGTCCGTCTTCACAATTAAGGCGATGAGTATTGATAGGTAAGCACACACAAATAGTCAATAGCCGCAAAGGTAAATCACTATAGGGTGGGGCGAAGATTTCCGTTAACAAAAGTAGTAGGTTGCTAACATGTAGCGAAAATAAGAATAAAAAAACGCACCTTGAAAAGCCAAACTGTCAAATGACATTTTTTCAAACTATCAGCAGACTCTTGCCCCACCTTGTAAAAATACGTATATATATATATATAAATCACTCGTAAATAACATATATATATATATACACATTTTTTTTAAACTATAATAAACACTTCGAATTTTATGCTTGGCACTGCTGTTCTGAATCGATTTAGGTCTCTGGCCTGTCTCCAAAATTAAACAGGCTCTTCTACCATGTAATAATTAGGTTTCCTGCAGGTAAATTTACTATTTAATTTTGGACTACGCGAAGCTTCAAGTAGCATTGTGTTGTAACCGTCGCCTGAAGTTAATTATATTCTAAATTCAAATGAATGTTCAACAATGGTTTTAAATTAGCAGATTCGACCCTTCGTTCAACCTGTGTTATTTCTCATTCGTTTGGGAAATTTCGATTGTTTTTGTGCTCTAGTCAGGCAACAGAGCAGGCCGAGGTGTCTGCCTCGACTCGAACTGTAGTTTCAGTCGCCCAATTGTAACACGTTTTCTATGTCGAAAAATACCAAATATAGTTTTACCTGTCGGCTGCTAGGGTCCGTTCAAAAATCGGCGGCTGTTCCAATGGACCTTCTATTACAGACAGCTAATACCTTAAGATCGTAGCCCGACCATTATTTTGGTAGGCTTCTTTTGAAAAATGTTAAATTCTACTAGTCTGTCTGTAAAAAAAAAAAGTAGTAAATAAGCCCCGGGACGCATGATAGAACGAGTAAGCTTAGCACTTACACAGTTACGGCGACACCAAAATTACTCGTTAATGCTTAATGCTAACTGGAGCAAGCCTCAACAACTTCCATAACGGGATGATGTATTTCTCAAGAATCTGCGATTCCACTGAAACAGAAAAAAAGCCTGAGTTAGTCCCCCTTGTTATTTCGGTACGATACAGCACAGAAAAATAAGCAAGGATAGGTTTAGAATCCTAAGGAGAATTGACGAATAGGAAAGACGATTTTACACAATCTGTATAGTTTCGCACATGTACCTCTATCGTGTCGGACAGTTCCAGGTTATGTATAAACTCGGCGTGGTAAGGTAGGCCTATGTAGCTTAACAAAAATGGGAACTGCTGTATTTTTTTGTCGAAAAGACTACTATTCTATGAAACCAAGCGTACGCATCTCGTACTTTTCATTCGAAAAACTTCTGAGCAGAAGATTAACACGTACTCGAGACTAAAGAATAAATTTTAAGAGACCAAACATATATACCTGCGAGTTCTGGTCTAAGGCATAAAACAGGCCATCTTCCTACGCTTGTACGGTCATAGAAATAAGCTTGGAAAATTCGTTTACGACTATACCGTACTGAATCCTATGTCCGAATTCTGAATCTGATAGAATTTACATTTTGATTAAATATAACTTAAATTTTCGAATTTTCGGGAATTTGTTAACCTGTACTTTATAGTTCGAGATCGGTATTGTTGGTATCGTGATCACTTCGTTTGTGAACAGCAGAAGGTTTTGTGGGACGTTAAAAGTAAGTGAAATTGAGAGCCAATTGAAGCCTTAACAGTAACAGCAACTTTAGGTTCAAGCAACGGGTAGATCTAGTAATAGCTTCGATGAATTTAGTCTTAACGCTTAAAAAAGGACAATATGTTTTGGTTCACATTAATGCACGTCCACTAAGTCGTCCTGCGGTTAACCACGATACAGTTACTGGATCTGCCAAATTTTGCTTCGAACAATAAAACATAAAGCCCAACTCATATACAAAGTGAGAAAATAGTTTCCGGGCGCTTTGACGTAATTTGAAAAATTATTGTTGAGGGTTTGAGAATAGTTACTTATATTATTCTCTCTTTCAAACTACCAAAATACTTTTTTTTCTTGAACCGTCCGAGGAGTCTCATTTCGCCCTGGATATTATTTTTTTGTTGCACTCAATGGCCGTATCGCAGTTCCTTCAATCCGGCGATTTCTGAAAACCTGTCGCCATATTTAATCGTAGCGTGCGTAAAGGCGATGAAGTGACAGACTTTCAAACCTTTTCCAACTTCGTGTAGAGGACGGACCGATGAGCATGTTGTGACCGCCGTGACGTTATCAGGCAACGATTGGCCTATGTCGTGCCATGCCAATCGCTGGAATAGTACTTGCATGGATACGCCAATGGCCTTATCTTGCAAGCCTGGATGATGAGTAAATATGATTCAGGTGACAGTATTATCAGTATGGATATTTTTGCGAAAATTGACACTAACGGTTGTATGAGTAACTCGGAAAATTTGCGGACCAAATTTTCAGCGGTGATATATATATAAAGCAGCATTTTTCTGACCAGCGATGCGACATCTACAAACGTTTACTAATTAGGACAGTACCAATCAGTGGCTGAATGGAGTTTTTGATTAAAAGCATCTAATTAAACAATACAGTACATGAGATCTGTTGGCTACATTCAAAAGTGGTAGCGTATTATACCGCATTGGTGAGAGCAGTCGAGCCTCTACAATATCGTCGATTAAATATCGCAGATTAAACATTATATAATGGATACAAATCGACACAACGACCCGGTTGGTTTTATCTAGAAGCCGTTCAGTTCCTTTGGATCTACTTTGAGCGATTGTCGCCGTCGATGCCGGAGACCCATGCGGGTCATTTACAGATTCCTCTTTTTTAAAACAGAGAAATTCTATGCTTAGACGTATACATATCAAAAGCCTGCTACTTTGAAAGACGTCGAACAAATGACGCTTAACCTCAGAGCTAGACGATCCTGTGGGCCTTTTTAGGCCGCGGAAAAGGACGGCTAGGCGGCGCCTCATGACCTAGAAGCCGCTAAAACCCGAACCGCTGGCGATGTCGTTGTGAAAAAAGCACGTGTAGAAGCGTTGGCGAAGTAAGCTCTGTAGAAAAAAGACTAAGAGAAGACTGGCAGTGTCTAAACGAAACTAGACATTTTTTGCATATGTCGGCAATACGGTAAAGTGTGTCAATAAGGGGCAATTTTTATGAGAAATTCAGTTGATTTGCTTAAAAGATGATGCTATTAGGAGCTTGCTGCCTTCGAAGCATATCAGCCACTGTTCTGATCGCTTCTTAGCGAGACAGAATGAGACAATATTAATAATGACGCAGAAGAAACCTTATGAAAAATGTTTGTAAGGTCAGTTACGCTGGTGTCATTGGAAGCCTATGAAAATGGCGAAATTATCCAAGCGTCTTACCTAACTACCCAGTACTATTGTACAGCACATGTGTTTAGGCATCATCCTAACCTAAAAAAAAAATCAAAATTCGCTTAAACGAATCCGAAAGTAACGTCCTCTGAATATTTTTTTAACTTCGACATTTTCTGCGTCTGCTTGACACGGCTTCAACTTCCCAATTAGCCTATAGTCACTTGCGTAAGGGTGCGTTTTAGTTCGCAACGTAATATAGAAAATATATGCAATGTGGCTAGCTGCAGCATTTTTTTTGCTCGAACTTCAGTTGGTTCTCAGAAGATTGTGAGCACTATGGCCGCCAGCGCTACATAGAGTGGGCCTTGTAGCGAAAATAATAACGGACGAGGAAGCGTTTGCACGTCTGCAGCTGGCAAGAAAGACGGTATTTTCATTGCCGCCACAACCGTTCCTTCAAAAGTTGTTTCTTGTGAGGAGAACGATTGTGGGTCGGAAAAAACACAGGAGAGGCAAATGAAGACGGCATCTTTGTTTCGTTAGCTCCCCCGTTTCACCGAGTATAGGTTTAACGGTATGCTCGAACTGGCTCTAAAATGAGTTTTTACTGGGTCAACTGTAAAAAAAAACGACCCCAATGTAGGGCTTGCAGTAGTTCGTAAATATCAATTATGGCCTTCGAGTGTGAATGCACGTACAGAAATAGGTATAAGGCCTAGTAGGTTTATATTAGGCGCGGAGGAGTGTTGTCGAACGTGAACAATATTATAGCCTTGGCGTGGTGTGTGACACATTTATTATTCGCGTTATGAGTCTTTATTACTATAGACGTAATAGCAGTTTTGTTTTACTATGGCGGGTGTTACACTCCTTCATTTACTCATGGCCCTTTGAAATGTTGTACACCGCTAGGATTTTTACTGAAAATGATGAAGTAATATGCTAACGATATGTATTTATTTGGCTGCGATATAGAAGAAAACGCTATTATTTCCCGGAAAACCTAATATTACATAGGAATCTTAATGCCGTTGGAGGTTAAACCCTATAGAAAACTGCATCGACCTGGGCTATATGGGATATTTTGGCAAGGTCCACGCTTATTTCTACATGAAGTAAAGGCTTTATGGATTGTCATATTTAATATTGTTGAATAAAAATATCACATATGGCAATTTTTGGTGGTTTTTCTGCTCTTATTTTGTTTAGTACTATAGCTATACTTACAAGTAAAGGTGCAGAAGTTTCACTCACACGAAGTATGAGTTATCGGAAATATAAAAAGCCAATGCAGTTTCTGGTAAATGAAAGTTTAGACATGAGCAGACAAGGTCATCCACAATCCAATGTTCTGTATAGACATCCAGTTCATATAAATAGATGATCTACCGGTTCAGGTTAAATCGAGCAGCTTTACACCCAACAGAAAGGTGGCCCATTGCCATGGGCAAATCTTGCTTTACATGGATCGTTTAAATCCCTCAGAAAATCGAGCACGATTGCTGCTACACAATGTCGGAACTCCGTCAATCATGGAAATGGGTCTCATGCACAAGTTTGTGACCTTTACGCATGATGAACGCTAAGGCATGAAGCGATCTGAATAACATAGCAGGTTGAAAAGCAAAGAAAAAAAATAACATATAACTGTGGTTACGTCGAATTTGAGCACGTAATACACAAGGATATTTGTTTGACGTGAGAGGTC